CTCTGCATCCCAGCCCGTTCTCATGTCTGTTCTGTCATTCGAGCCCTTCAGCTGCCTTTGGGGTAGGGACCAACAGTCGGAGAGCGACAGCACCCCTGTTCACTGTCAAGGTTAACAGAGAAATCAGCTCAGGGGACGTGGCCGAGGCCACAGCGAAGATCCACCAGGATGCTCGCTGACGTGCCTCAGGAGACCACACTCGGGTCGTGCCCATGTGAAAACCTCGAACCTGGCAATACTGGATTAGTACCTACATCTGCCAACCGATTACTGAGATGGGAAATGCACAGTAGGCTGTGGCCGGGGGACCTGCAGGCGACATCTTTTTTTTTATCCTCACAACTGGAGGACATTTTTACATTTTTTGTTCAGATAGAGTGGGAGGGAGAGAGAGAGAGAGAAACATCGATGTGAAAGGGACACATCGAGTGGCTGCCTTCCGCATGTCCCAACCAGGGCCGGGGACAAACTGCAACCGAAGTACGTGCCCTTAGTGGGAACCGAACCCGGGTCTCTCTGGACCGCAGGCCGACGCTCTAACCGCTGAGCCAAACCGGCCAGGGCCAGATTTTATCTTTTATCTTTAAGTGAATGATTTCCGCTGCCACGACCTCAAGTCAGCAGACTGGGATTCAGATTCCAGCTGGCTACAGGACACCCTCCTCGCCCTTAATTCATCTGTAAAATGGGTACATTAATGTCTCTTCTTCATTTACAGAATTCCTGTGACATCAGATAAACAATGACCACTAAAAAAGTCTATAAACTGCGCAGTACTGAATAATTCTTAGATGCTTTATTTAAAATTATCCAAACCTCTCCAGGAATTATAAATATATTCTATGAATTACCAAAAGGTTTTTCTCTGGATTAACTAACTTTTCACTGATGTGGGTGATGGACATCTGGATGAAAATACCGTTATCTTACTGTGCCTGCATCTCGTCAGTCTCAGGAGTCCTTCCTCCAGTAAGTTGAACTTCGGGAGAGTTCTCTCTCATGAGCCCAGAAACAGCCACACAGAAAGCACAGTTGAAAGTAACAACCCACCAGGAAGCAAGCCCGACGGAGAATGAAAAGCAAGATGACTTTTCACAAATCTGGAAGAAGGTCCGGGAAGCAGTGAGTTAAGAGGAGGCAAAAATGCCCTGAGATCGACCGGGATGGAGAAAGACAATTGAGCCGAACTCCTTTGAACTTTTGCTGTTCTCCACGCACAACTGGAAAGGGCTTCCTACTGGCTCGAGGTGGCCAAGGACACGAGCAGGATTTCCAGATTCTCGAGCAAAACTGTGCAAAGGCACCGTGTCTAGGGAGCCAAGGGCCTCCAAGAGGGGCCACTCCCTACAGGGGCATCTGCAGACCCTCCTCGGGGACTGTCCCAGCTGAAGTCCCCCTCTGCCCCGTTCCTCCCAGCCTGCTGACCCCCTTCCCCGAGCAGCTGAGTTTGCCTTGGAAAAACAGTTGCGGCTCTAACACCCAGTTCTGGAACAAGTCTGCCAAAGAGCAACTCATCGTGGAAGGTCAGTTCCCCGACGCCTCACTAGCTGAACCTGGGACAAGGTCAGCACCGGCGCCCCGACTGCCCGTGTGTCCCTCCTCCAGTCACCAGGCTCCCTGATAAAACGCTCCCGTGGTTCCCTCCGGGGCCTCCAACGTCTGCTCCCTCTAGAGGGGCTTGAGGCAGTTATTTTCTTCTGTTTTTCGTCCAACCCCACATAAATTAGTTTGGGAGTAAATCTGCTGGCAGAGAAGGGCTGAGAGAATGGAAAAGAAAATCCACATAAAAGGGAACAGGCACGTTTGACCCCCTCTCCCTCCCAGGCCATTTCTTTTTACTGGTGAAAATGGCCAGAACACATCTTCTTGCTAAAGAATGTGCCTGAAAAATCAGACTTGAGCTGGGAAGACGGGGGGCCAACTCCAGGGCACAATGGTTGATTCCGTCAGGGCACGCTCTACTTACATCCTGCTGTAGACTAGGGATGTGTCAACACACACACACACACACACACACACTCACACACGAGGCCGCCACCACACACACACACACACACACACACACGAGGCCACCACACACACACACACACACACTCACACACACACACTCTCACACACACACACACGAGGCCACCACACACACACACACACACTCACACACACACACTCTCACACACACACACACGAGGCTGCCACCACACACACACACACACACACACTCACACACACACACACACGAGGCCACCACCACACACACACACACACTCACACACACACACACGAGGCCACCACAACACACACACACACACACACACGAGGCCGCCACCACAACACACACACACACACACACACGAGGCCACCACAACACACACACACACACACACACGAGGCCACCACAACACACACACACACACACACACACACACACACACGAAGCCACGGCAGCAGCAAGGAAAGGGTCTGCTGTCTGGGAACGAGTGTGCGCGTTTCGGACGAGCCATTTATCGGCTGTCCTCATGGAATTCGTTTTCTTTATTTTTTCCCTTTTTCGCTTTAAACCCAGTTGTCAGCAGCGGCTGGCCAGAGGAGGACGCGACCGGAGTGCTGGCATTGACCGTCCGCTGGCACGATTTCTCTGCCAGCCCGAAGGGGCCAGGCACGGCCATGGGGCGGGGAGGCTCCCGGTGCCCAGTCGTCCATGAAATGGACACAGGCCCTTCAAAGACTTTTCTCCCCTCCCGAGGCCTCCATCCAAACAGAGCGAGACCTCTCTCTCAGGGCAGCCTGTCGGAGAGCTGTCTGCTGGCGCTGGCTGACCCTGCACTGCTGGCCGAGGGTCCCTCCGCTGTCCGCGTTGCAGGGCCCTCCACCTGCTCTGTTCACGGAAAGGGCTCGGGCAGACGCAGGCAGGCAAAGTCTCCTTACACCATCACTAGTAATCTACCTTACGTATGGGCCGCCATTATTTCCAGAAAGCTCTGCTGATCGCCCCTTGTTTCCATCCCTCCAACCCCCCGAAACTCCTCCACTGTGCCCTCTGCACCCCATAGTCTCTTAGCAGTAAATTCTCTTCTAGCCTCAACTTTTCATCAAAGTGACTAACGGAAGCCTGGCTTTCTTCTGAGGACCCTGTTTCTACTGACGGAGTCTCGAGTGGTGGCCGTGGTCCCTGTACCTCCTAAATCCCTACGCCTACAAATGGGGTGTGTATGCCCCATGCTCCTCCCGGGCTTCTCCCCTTCCCTGGAATTCTCCAGCACCGGATCTCTCTCAGTCTGTGTCACCCCTGCCTCTCCCTGTGGTAGACACCCCCCCCCCCCCGTCAGTTTCCCCTGGAGTTCCGAAGGTTTGCATTCCTGACCCACTGCTCCGAACAACACGCTTGTCTTAACTCCCAGGGATTTCAATTCCCTCTTGAAGATGCTGTCAACACCGTCTGCTTTGCTCTGCTCTATACCTTCTTAATGTGCCCCCGTCCCGTGACCGCATCCACCTCAGGACCCTCCAGGCCAGTTTCCAACAACTCAGAATCAGTGTGATGGCACCTGAGGCCCCACGGAGGAATGGGAAGAGCTACCTCTGAAACCGGCGGCGGGAAACTACAGAGAAGGGGAAAGGAGAAATCTCTAGTTCTGCTAACGTTAACGGCCAGCACTGGAAAGACCTTGTGACTCATCCATAGAAAAACACCACATAGACATCTAAAGCAGATTCATCCAATGGCTGTTTGTTTGCCTAATTTATTTCTCTGGCCAAATGTTTGGCCTTATACCTTGCTAGGACCAGATGGAAGACTGTGGAGAAGAGACTACAGATTTTAGGAACTTTCTCGTGACCTCCCACCTGGAGACCATCTTACTATCTTTTTTTTTTTTTTATCCTCACCCGAGGACATTTTTCCATTTTTGGTTCAGATAGAGTGGGAGGGAGAGAGAGAGGGAAACATCGACGTGAAAGGGACACATCGAGTGGCTGTCACCTGCACAACCAACCAGGGCCGGGGACAAACTGCAACCAAGGTACATGCCCCTAGTGGGAACCGAACCCGGGACTCTCTGGACCACAAACTGACGCTCTAACCGCTGAGCCAAACCAGCCAGGGCCTGTCTTACTATCTGAATAGTAAGATAATCGTTTTGGTTTATCTTTACCTCCAGGAAAACCAGTTATTCTGACGATTCCCATTCAGGCAGGCCTCGCTCTGCCAACAAGGGGCCTCCAGCTACGACACTACTAACTGTCCACTTAACTCAGGGAAAGCGGAGCGTGGCTGACAAGATGAGAAAAGCATTGCTATTCTTTTCTTTTTTTACCTTTTTTTCTTTCATTAATTTTAGAGAGAGAGGAAGGGAGAGAGAGATAGAAACATTAAAGGGAGAGAACATCGAATGGTTGCCTCCTGCATGCCCCCCACTGGGGATCATGCCCTGACCGGGAATCGAACTGGCGACCTCTTGGTGCATGGGTCGACGCTCGACCCCTGAGCCACTCCAGCCCGGCAGCATTGTTATTCTTGAGAGCGAAACAGAAATATTTCTTATTGTATAAAGATTCAGTCTTAGATCTCAACTGAAAACGCTGGAGAATTTTACCAGTTTCTGGAGGCAGATCTAAGTATTAGGGGTAGGAGATTGAGTTCTAGCGATAAGAAAAAATTCCTAGCATGGATAACCTAATCAGGGTCTAATCGCAGGCACAATCCCATCCACACCTGGGCCAACACCAGGTCTGTGGAAGGCCCTGATGCTACACTATTTAGTTCCTTATCTCTTCTAAACTTAAGGGTTCTAGAGAGCTAACCTACTTATCAGAAAAGGTAGCACACAATATAGATTCTATTTTCATACCATTTCCCACATTTGTTTTAATGTAGATCTATTTTTGCAGCTAACAAACCAAGCTGTGACATGAAACTATTCTGGGGATGCTCAATTTTCTCCTCTTAGTGGACAAGCATTACCTTGTCCACTGGCCTCAAGAAGTTGACATAAAAAGAGAGAATGATCCTAATGAAGGAGAAACCCAGCCCCAGCCAGGAATATCAGATGGATGGCTTGCATCGGAGACCTTCAAACCCCATCATCGTGAGACCACTTGTGGGTTTCTTTTTGGAGTTTCCCAAGGGGCATGACAACACTGGTAGGAGCTCATCATCCTCCCCCGCCCCCAAGCCAATGGTAAATGAAGCGCAGAGGGATGTCTTCACATGGAATGCTGGTTGAGCATCGACCCATGCACCAAAAGGTCCTGGTCAGGGTACATGCCCAGGTTGTGGGCCAAATCCCCAGTGGGGGGCATGCAGGAGGTGACCAATCAATGTTCTCTCTCATTGATGTTTTTTTCCTCTCTCCCTCTCCCTTCCTCTCTCTCTAAAATCAATAAAGAGCCCAGCCGGTGTGGCTCAGTGGTTGAGCATCGACCCATGCACTAAGAGGTCACCGGTTCGATTCCCGGTCAGGGCACATGCCCAGGTTGTGGGCCTGATCCCCAGTGGGAGGCATGCAGGAGGCGGCCAGTCGATGTTCTCTCTCATTGATGTTTCTCTCTCTCTCTCAAATTAATAAAGAAAAAAGAATTAAAAATAAAGGCAAAGAGGGATAAATAATGCAAAAGAGAAACAACTCATCTTTAAAAATAAAATTAATAAAGAAAATGTTTTTTAAAAAGAAAACTTCAACGCAGCCCTAGCTGGTTTGGCTCAGCAGTTAGGGTGTCGGCCTGCAGACCAAAGGGTCACGGGTTAGATTCCCGACCAAGGGCACGTACCCCGGTTGCAAGTTTGATCCGGGGTCATACAGGAGGCAACCAATTGATGTGTCTCCCTCCCTCACTCCCTTCCACTCTATCTAAAAATCAATGGGAAGATATCCTCAGGTGAGGATTACCAAAAAACAAAAACAAAAAAAAACTTCAATGCAAAAAACAAAAAGATGTTCATCGAACACAGTTTTAATAACCACGGCTTCTGAGCGGGGATGTTCTCTGGCTTCTGCAGGGAGCGGTGCTTTTCTTCCCCAGCCTCCCCCTGCGCCAGGAGCGCCTACCAGCTACCGACGCAGCTCAGCCGCAGCTCAGCCCGCAGCTCAGCCCGCAGCTCAAGCCCGAGAAGCCCGCAGCTCAGCCCGCAGCTCAGCCGCAGCTCAGCCGCAGCTCAGCCCGCAGCTCAGCCGCAGCTCAGCCCGCAGCTCAAGCCCGAGAAGCCCGCAGCTCAAGCCCGCAGCTCAGCCGCAGCTCAGCCCGCAGCTCAAGCCCGCAGCTCAGCCCGCAGCTCAGCCCGCAGCTCAGCCGCAGCTCAGCCGCAGCTCAAGCCCGAGAAGCCCGCAGCTCAGCCCGCAGCTCAGCCCGCAGCTCAAGCCCGCAGTTCAGCCCGCAGCTCAGCCCGCAGCTCAGCCGCAGCTCAGCCGCAGCTCAAGCCCGAGAAGCCCGCAGCTCAGCCCGCAGCTCAAGCCCGCAGCTCAGCCCGCAGCTCAGCCGCAGCTCAGCCCGCAGCTCAGCCCGCAGCTCAGCCGCAGCTCAGCCCGCAGCTCAAGCCCGAGAAGCCCGCAGCTCAAGCCCGCAGCTCAGCCGCAGCTCAGCCCGCAGCTCAAGCCCGCAGCTCAGCCGCAGCTCAGCCCACAGCTCAGCCGCAGCTCAAGCCCGCAGCTCAGCCCGCAGCTCAAGCCCGAGAAGCCCGCAGCTCAAGCCTGCAGCTCAAGCCCGCAGCTCAGCCCGCAGCTCAAGCCCGCAGCTCAGCCCGCAGCTCAGCCCGCAGCTCAAGCCCGCAGCTCAGCCCGCAGCTCAGCCCGCAGCTCAAGCCCGCAGCTCAAGCCCGCAGCTCAGCCGCAGCCTCAAGCCCGAGAAGCCCGCAGCTCAGCAGCAGCTCAGCCCGCAGCTCAAGCCCGAGAAGCCCGGGCTCTGCGCCAGGCTCCGCCGCCTGGGCTGTGCCCCGGGCTCTGCGCCAGCCGCTTCCGCCTTCGGAGCAGCCGGTGTCATTTCCACCGATGCGAGCCCAGAGCGGTTTAAACGAGGTTACTTGAAGGTCCCCTTTCCTGGCCACACCCCGAGTCCTTGACTAGTCCCATTTCTGCAACAAGGACTCGGTGCTTAACACTGTGTCCTCGCTTGGTGGGCGACAGGCGACTGTTCGGGGAGACGACCACCAACTGCAGTCATCTCTCTTCACTGAGCCCCGGAAGCGAAGGGTAAGAAGCATGGCTGGCATGTCATAGCTCTTAGTAAACCAGACACCTTCCAGGGGGCAGCCATTTTCTGTCTGGAAATTTCCAGGCCCAAAGTCTGTGCACACCCTAATCTTACGCAAAGCACTTGCCAAAGGCAGACGCTGGGCTCGCTCACTCTGGCCCCTCTTTTGCAGCAGTGGTTCCTCTAACCCCTTGGAAGAGTCTGCACAGAACCCACTGCAGAAGGTGGACCCTGCTACCAAGTGCATTCTCTTCCTCACTGACTAAGGTGGCACAAATGCCATCGCTCTCTTTTCACTCACTCCTTTAACAAACACTTCTTGAGCACCTTCAGAATACCACGCCCGGCGCTGGAGACGTGAAGAAGCAGCAAAGATGTAAGCAGAAAGAAAAATATTTCAACCACTTTTTGAAAAGGTCGATTTCTAAACGTGCAAGAAGGGCAAAACCACCTCAACAGGGCAGGAGGCTGGCACCTCTAGACTCGGTTTCCAACTCAAATGCTATTCTTCTGAACACCTTTTCTGATGGTCTCATTCCTCCTCTAATCATTCCTGTCCGAATCGCTTCATTGTGCATGTGTGACTGCATGACTGTGTGTGTGAGTGTTCACATAGATATCCTTGCATATTTCTGTACATTTTCTACATAGATACAGAAACACACACACACACCCCTTCACATCCTTCTTGCTAACTACTCCCAGCCTTCGGAGAAGCAGCGGCTGCCGGTGTCACTTTCCTTCTTCATAACCCGGTTGTCACGGGTCCCATGCCCACCCCCAGCATCAGGAATGGACTACGCACATAGTCGGGTCTGAAGAAGGGCTGGGAACCAACAGGGAAGTGAGGAATTTACCTTGGTCACTGTGGTATTGTTGTTTCCTCATTCTTGAAAAGTTCAACAACCTCACACTCAACATTCACCAAGCCCTCCAGGCTTTTCAGAACCTTCTACCTACGTCATCTCATTCCATTCTCACGACTAGGGAGGCAGAGGGATGGCCTCCTTTTACTGATGAACAGAACGGAGAACCAGAGAGGAAATTAGCTTGTCCAGCCAGCAAGTTGTGCTAGATGCTTTCTGTTCATCCCCAGACGACAGGCCCCTTCTCCAGCCTGCCCTCCACCCCAGGTGACCTCCATGGCCGGCAGCAACAGCTCCCTTGCTCTCTGGCCTCTGGTTAGATTTGGCCAGTGGAAGGGTCTAGGAAGCGAGGGTGGAGAGTGAGTGAGGCTGGGTATTTACTCCTCGAGCCCCCTTCTCGTTGGTGACGACGAGTGGAGTTGACCTGTAAATGTTGCCACAGGTCCTCTCTGATGACCCTCTCCACCTTCTGTCCCCACCCTTGCTCTTCAACCTCTTAATGGCTCCCCTTTCTTGCTTTTCCAGGGACAATGACCCCTCCCTTCTTGTCTCCCTGAACCCTGCTCACACCTTGTAAATCGTCTTTGTAACGAGCACTCTTCCGGAGCCCACTGTGAATGTGCCACGGGTCTTGCTGAGACCTGAGAGAGAGTCGTGGCGTTAGTCCCGCTCACACTCGCTCCATCCTTTGGCTCCCAGCCTGAACTCTTGCTCACCGCGATGCTAAGTCAGAAGAAAGAGCGTCTGCACATCACACTGGGAAGCCCCCGCTGCCGGGTCTCTCAGAGCCTGAGCCCAGAGCCTGTGCCTGCAGACGGGTAGCCTGCTCTCAGTAAACAGTCGGGCCACAGCTGCTGGGACATGGATGGAAGCAATACAATGACTCATCAGGGGAGCTGCAGCCCATTGACCCCCCATGACTCAGACATTTTGTGTTCAACAGAGCGCTGAGCTGAATGAAAGCTAGCAGACCAGTGCCCGGCTTCGCCCAGGCTCCAGCACTCAGGGAGTTCCAAAGCACTGGGAATATGCGTCTCTGTGGTCCTGTCCTCAGATACTCTCTCCTGTCAGCCTCCAACCCTCTGTCATCCCTCTCTCCCCACCCCACCCACCAAAAACGTCTCTTGCTGGAAATGAATCCGATAAAGAGGCACACGGGTCACCACTCCCGAGACAACAAGCTCGTGGCCACGGGCCAACACTGCACTTCGCTGGAATCACTTGGTGGTGCACGGTGTCCTCGGCTGCAAACCTGCCTCCCTTCCAGCTGCAGCTTCGCAGACGAGCTGCTGGGGAGGCCAGAGCCCTCCGCAACCGGCTGCCACGCCGCCGTCTCCCCAGTTCCCCTCTCGGCCGAGGCTCCTTGGGTTTTGTTAAGTTTAAGACCTGCACCCGACTGGCCTGGCCAAAATGTTTGATATTTAATAGCCAGACAGCCTGCTGGGCTGCAACACGTTCCTTAGACAACACTGAGTAATCATGGGGTGTCAGGCATGGCGCTAAGGTCTCTACTTCGGTTAAACTATTCAGCTGTCCTACTAACCATCTGAGCCCGAGTGTGTGTGTGTGTGTGTGTGTGTGTGTGCGCGCGCGTGCATGTGTGTATGCATGCTTGTGTGTGTTTCATACATGAAGACAGGCTCAGAGAAGTGATTTCGGCCAAGGTCACAGTCAGTGGCAAAAAAAGGAATCTACCTGTCCTTCAATTCCATACCCTTAACCGTCTTCCTGCTTCTGTGTATACTGATTTAATCATTTAATTTTCAAGACTTTAGAGAGGTCAAGGTGTGCCCTTGATCTTCCCACTGAGGTCCAGCACTCAGTCCTCGGGCTCCTGCTGGGCACCCAGCACTGTGCGAGGAGGGCACAAAGGGGGAAGACAGCCTCCACCTTCCAAGAGCTCACGTTCTAATCTGGGGCAGCTCTGGGGGTTCCCTGTGGCCCTGGTCTTATGTAAAAGCGAAACTCTGCCTTTGTTGATGTCAGCCTCCTAAGTGCAGGATTTCTGCTTCTTGCTCAACAATTGCAACCGAGACCGGAACAGGAGAACAGGTGATCGATCACCTATGTATATATTTTAGGAAGAGAGAGTGTGTCAGCCAAGGGGGTGGGGGTGGGGAATGGAGCTGGAGGGGGCAGGTTGGGAGAAAAATTCCAGAAGAGGTGGATTACGCAAAGGCAGGGAGGTAAAAGAACCCTAGGACTTTTTGTTGTTGTTAATCCTCACCCAAGAATATTTTTTCCATTATTTTTAGAGAGAGTGGAAGGGAGGGAGGGAGGGAGGGAGGGAGAGAGAAATATCAATGTGAGAGAGACACGTTGATTAGTTGCCTCCCTCACACACCCTGACCGGGGCTGGGGATTGAACCTGCAACCCAGGTACATGCCCTTGACCCAGAATCGAACCTGAGAGCCCTCAGTGCTTGGGTTGATGCTCCAACCACCGAGCCACACCAGCCAGGGGAAGAGCCAACCCCAGGATGTTTGATGGGACCTACTGGACATGTGCCTGAAATTCACACCATGAAAGTCATCCCAGGACTTGGTATCTTTAATGTTTTAAAATAGGTAGTACAGTCATGGTTCAAAATTAAAACAATAATAAATCGTGTTCCCATGCCTGTGTCCCCCTTCCCCGTCCTCTCTACCCCGTCCCGTCCCCCCGTCTCCATCCCCAGGTAACTGTTGATAACAGGCTGCTGTCTCTCCTGCTTCTTCACATAAATGCAAGCTGCCACCACCACACATACACCACACATACACACATACACAGGACGCAAGACCTTCTGAAGGAGCGTGCACTTTTTACTACGCGAAACACTATTACTTGCGGAACGTAAAATATTACACTTTTTAAAAAATTATTTCAGATGTTAGTCTTCACGCAGGGAGTGCCTTCGACACACCGTTACACTTGGTGGTCACGAGAATTGCACTTTATAGATGACAAGAAGTAACAGGACACGCAACTTGTCAAGCTCAGATGGCTGGTCACAGCAGAAGCAGGGTGCCCGGCCTCCAGCACCCTGAGAACACTGGTCCTGCCGTTCGCCTAACTCGGGAGCCAGAAACCCGAGTCTCCTCGCTGCACCCGCCTGGGACACCCAGGGACAGGGGACCACAGCACTCTGTGACCTCGTCTCACTGAGGAAGCCTCCCGTTGTTGGAACTTGTGGTCATCATCACGCAGATCACATTTCTGTTTACGTCGCCTTCTTAGGACGAGGGGCCGTTTCCTGTTCGTTTCTGGCATGGTGGATGGCCATGAAGAGGGATGAACTGAGAAATCACCTTTCATATTGAGATGAAATCATTCTTTTAGCCATTAAAACAAAAATCTTCTCTCTCCCAGGCCCATCCTATTCAACCATGCTGTCACGTTCAGTTAACAAGAAGGGGGAGAGTGAAATCCTAGGGCCACATCCCAGGGGATGGTCAGGAGGTGGGAGAGGCCCCGCTGAGCTCCGGAAATAAGCCGTAACCCGGGAAGAGATGAAGGAGCGTCAGGAACAGCCTCTGGTCTTGAGCCACACCTCTGAGAAGAAAGGGGGCTCCCACGGGCCAGTCCCCAGCCCCCACTACCGCCACTGCTCAATTTTTGCTACCAGGATGAGCAAGGAATCAAAGATGATGATGACGGGGGTGTGGGTGGGTGTGGGGGTGTGTGTGTGTGTGACTGTGGTCTTTCCCCCACTTCCTCTTCTCCAAGGCAACAACTTCCCAAACCCTGGGGTGTTCACAGCCACACACATACCCCCTCCCTGGTGTATTTAGTGTGCCAGGCATTTATATACAGAACCTCTCAGAATATTCCAAACAACAACCCTGGAAGGCAGGCACTTTTAAATCTTTACTTTATAGGTGAAGAAACTGAGAGTCAGGGACATGAAGTGGTCTAGCCAGAGTCACAAAGCTTTTAAGGGATGGCCCCAGGATCTAGGATGAGGTTTAGTGGTTTGGTTAATGCCCAGTGAGTGCTGCTCTTGCCGGCCATGCTGCTCAC